CAACTTCTCCAACGATTATAGTAATCATGATCTAGGACATATTTGGTTTTTTGTTGTGAGTAAGAGCGATAGCAACAAGATCTTAAGCTTTCATCAAATATACATATATAAGAGATAAGCTTGAAGACATTTCACTTTGATTAGTTTTGTTGTTTTGATATCGAAGCATTAGGTTGATGATTCTTGTTAAAAATGAATATTACAATATTTTTTTATGTTGCTTTCATGGATATTCTAGGATTTTTATATTATGAATAAAAAAAATGAAAACGTTTTTACATTATCCATATAAAATTGTAAAGTTAGATGAACATAAGTAAACTTTAGATATGTAGTTTTTCATAATTATTTAGTTAGGAAACAGGAGGGAAAAAAATATAACAAAATTTGGGTGAGTTTTAAGTTGAAAATGGGAAAAATATGAAGGTTGAAGATGATGTATATAGTACTGTTAATCTGGAGACAATGGATATGGTTATCTAGAGAAAATGGATATGGTAAAATAACATACAGTCAGAAGGGTAGTGCACCATTATATAGTGTAAGATAGTTTATATTCAAAAGAGTTGACTTAAAAAAATACAATTTTATTTTAAAATGACAAAATGCTAGAAAATGACGAACATAGGTCATCATACTTCCTATTTAAAACAAATTCATAAGGAAAGATCCTCTTCGCATACATGAAATAAAATTCAACGTGACGCGGGGAACTCCAAGATAAAAAAACACATTGATCATGAACCCACTCTACTTAGCATACAGAAATTTAATACCCTAAATTAAACATTCCTTACTTGAATCGCAATCAATAAAGTGAATGCTATCAAAGTAATTAGAAAAATAAAAAGGAATTAAAAAGACACCACATCTTACCCGATAAGTCGATTCAAGATTCCTCAACTCAACAAGATGGTTGAAGTAACCTTCCTTAAAGAACTCTCACTCAAAATAAGCAAAATTAAAATAGATGCAAAACTTAAATTTTACTGATCAACTGAATTGAATTATTTATAGTCTAACCATGAGGCCTTTATATAGACTTTCATCGGAGTGGTTCTAATTAAATAAAAATGTTAGAATTTGATTAAAACTCTACCAAAAATCTAGCCTTATCTTAAGTTAATTCTAAAATAATAATTATATATTCTAAAAGATAAAATTAACAATAAAATAATAATTTAAAACTAATAAAATATTACTTGGATAAGGCTGAATTTTTCAATGTGCTTTAATCTTCTTGTTAGACTTCAATTGACCATAGAATTCTTCTTACCCATGTTCAAAGATCTAGATTTGTCATACAAGAGCCTAGTACACATGGGAAATGATGACTTGGTTCAAGCTAAAGGCAAAGGCAGTATTGTTGTACAGACTAAGATGAGACCTAAATTTATTCGAGATGTGCTATTAGTGTCAAATTCGAAGCAAAACCTGTTGAATATCTAACAACTTGTACAAAATAGCTACATAGTTTATTTCAAAGATGGAGGTTACAAAAGTTTTTATTGAAGAAACAACAATCATTTACTTGCAAAACTTGACATGGAGAAGTCCAGAAATTTTCCTCTACAAATAAAAGTATGCTTCAGAAGTGGCACTAAAAATAGAGAAAGTAGTTCAAGTGAAGGGGGAGGCATCAAATTCAATAGAATTTGATAAGACAGCTATAGGAAGAGGTCAGGATAGATGTGCAAAGAACCGTGGTAGAGGAAGAGGGAAAAGAGGCAGCAAAAGTGGAGTCCAATGGTAATAGTGTAATAAGTACGAACATGTTAAAGTAGATTGCTAGTATAAGGAGAAACAAGTTAATTTTGCAGAGACAACTAATGAAAAAAAATGAAGACAATATTTAATGAGTTTGATGAGACAGAAAAAATCACAGTCAAGTTTGGAGATAATAAAAACATTCAAGTTGAAGGAAAAGGTTGAACAAGTAGCAGATATATTTACAAAAGCAGCACTTTCTTATCAGAAACATGTTTACTTCAGATCACTACTTGGTGTATGCAATTTTGAATCAAAGGGGAGTGTTGAATAAATGATTCAAAGTTATGTTAGAATTAATTTATGAAAATTATAAATTATCTGTTATGATTAAAAATTATAAATTAGTGGTTATGAAAATATTAAAACAAAATTTAATAGTGATTAAATAAAATAAATAGACGGTTACATAAAGAGAAAATAATAGGCTATTTTCGTTGCCTATATATAGGCTACGTATTACTCTATAATAGTATCCCATTCAGATTGAATATAATATATTTTTTCTTTTCAATATATCTCTCTAGTTATCCTCAATTTTATATTTTTGTATTAATAACAACCTCTTATCTTCAATTTATTTCCAACATATGAACCTCCTAAACAACTAATAGAGATGCAGGTCGTATTGTTGCATAAATCATGTTGGAGAGCTCTCCCCATAAATTCTGAAAACCTAAGAATTACTCCTAAATAGACAGATTTCCTTAATTATAACTAGCAATCTCAGACTCCAATTGGTAAGGACGTGTAGTGTTGTTTTGACTATAGACTTTCTTCAAATATTCCCCATTGTTTTGGCAGTTTTATAGAACCTTAAATTAAGCACAATAACAGGATCAATAGAACTTAAGATCCATGTCATTACACATGCATGTTTTACAACCCATTAAGCTAGTTCTTTAGCATCTATAGGTGCTCGAGAACTACCATCAATATGACCCCACAAATCCTTACTAGTAACAAATAGCTAAAATTGAAATTCCTAAGTATAATAATTCTTACCAATAAATTGCACTCTAAAGATGTCCAAAGAATTGAGAACATGAGACAGTGAATCCAAGAAGATTACCATAAAGAGAAGAGTAATTATAACCAAAAATACCCATGTAGAGAATCACCACAGAAAATCACCTCTAAAAAGAACTCAAAGAGAAGGATCAGCCTTCTAATATAAGACAAGACCCAACTACCACATAAAATTTAAAAAACTTAATTCTAGACGAGATGAACCTAATTTCAATTTTAAGCTTTGATACTATGACAACTATGCTGTTTGCACTGAATGCCCCTCTTTGGGAGTATTTTCTCTCTTAAATAGAAAATAGATTTTCTGAATATGTGCCTCTAATTAAGCTGATTTTACTAATTTAGCAAGTTCACTATTTAGTAAAACCTATGCCAATAATTAAGCTATATATCTACAAGAATAATATTGACAAATAAGGCAGCAGAATATCACAATTAAATACTTATCCATTTTAGTGACAATGACCCCATCCTTAATTTGATATAGTTCACCGGGTTTAACTTTATATTATTTATGTATGTGTTAGAAAGAAAGAAGTTAGAAGTTTCTCATTTGGTCCATAAAGAAAATATTTTAGTTCGATAACATAGAAAATAAGATATTACTCTTTTAGCTATAAATCAAGAAACTTCTCCATCTACAATAGTAATTGTGATCTAGGACATATTTGGTTATTTGCTATGAGAGAGAGAGAGCAACAACATCTTAAGCTTTCATCAAAGAAATATATATAAGAGATAAACTTAAAGACATTTCGCTATCTTTAGTTTTATGTAGTGATATCGATGCAGTAGGTTGATGATTCTTATTAAAAATAAATATTACATTTTTTTTGTGTTGCTTTCTTGGATATTTTATGATTTTTATATTATGGGTACCAAAATGAAATGGTTTTACCTTATCCATATAAAATTACAAAGTTAAATGAATATAAGTAAACTTTATATATATAGTTTATTATTATTTAGTTAATAAACAATAGTGGAACAAATATAACAAAAATTGGGTGAGCTTTTGAGATGAAATGAGAAAAAAAATTGAAGGTTGAAGATGATATTTATAATTAATCACCAAAAATTAGCATTGTTAATCTAGAGGAAATGGATCCGATAAATAATATATACAGTGGGAAGGGTAACGCACCATCAGTAAGGTACAAAATGATAAATGCAGGACCTACTTCGCATTTAAAATTAATTCATTGGGAAAGGTCCACTTCGCATGATTGAAATGAAAGTAATGGGAATGTTAAATTATAATTAACTTATACATTAAAATAGTTCTATGTTAAACACGTACTCAATGCTCTTATAAGAAAAGATTGGACGAACATTTTTAGGTTTGAAGCTATAAATGCTTTGTGGATTGTGTCCAAGAACTAAAAGGTAAGAAAACCAAAATATTATTTTTCTCATCATATAATTTTGATGAGAGATTTTTCGTGATCATGAGATTTTCATTGCTTGGACTAAAAATAAATTGCATCACATCCCTATCTTTTAAACCTAGATGATCATGAGATGTTATGTGGATTAAGGAATAGGCAACCAAGTTTTTTAACAAAAAAAAAATCAATGATCATAAAATAACATAAGATTTAGAAACATTAAACAAAATATGGCCATAAGGTAAAAATGTATACAAAATAAAGATTTTTATGGTAGATTATTATCAAAATCCCATAAAGATTAATCAAATTGACGATTTTGAACTTAACTAACGATGTAGAGCTTGCCACTTTTTAGGTATATTATAAGTTGATAGTGACTAGTGTAAAATGCATAATTATTTTAACTTTTTAAATTACCCTAAAGATATTACAAATGTTACTAAAATAATAATTTTTAAAAGATCATTCTAACTATCCTTAAATTGGCTTCATATTTTAAAACATCAAATATATATATCTCTTTATAATAGAAACTAAAAATGTGTAATTTTTAACCTGTTGTAAAACAGAATTCTATTATATAATGCATTAAGGTATTTTAGGAATGGTTTTCTTTTAAGTTTGCAATTTTTTTTTTCTGTTTTAAATTTTCAAATTTCAAGAGAAATCACAAAATAGTCTCACACATACACGTGGATTCTTTCCTTACCCCAAGTTACGGGCAAGGCTTATGTGCGAGACATTTCTTTTCCTTACCCGTAGGCAAGGTTTTCACGCAGGCATACCTGTCAATATTTCCCAGGCTACGGGCTCCCCAACCACGCAGGATTTTTCATTCGCGAGCATATAAATCACTTTTCGTGACTCTTCTGTCGATGGACACCACTCACACTGGCACCCAAAGTCCTACAAGCGAGCTCCTTTCTTCCATCGCCAGGTGTCAGTCGACCAGCTTTCCCCTCCAGTCCTATTAGCCACCCATAACCTCCAATGGCCTAGGGCTAAGGATGTCATAATATGGGGTATAAAATGATGCATTCTTTCCGATTTCTTCTTCAATTCTTCATTTTTTTGATTAAATAGAAAACCAGAGAGAGAGAATCGAATTTAGCAGGAATCTAGTGAGAGAAAGAGAGTAAAAATTGAGAGAAGAAGAGTGCAATAAATAGAGTGAGTGTGTACATGTGCTGCCTAGAGGAGAAGATGATTTCTTATCTTCTGAGGTAAGCATCTCCTTCTGTTTCAAGTAGATTAGCTCTTTCTTCCATTAACTAACTCATTCCTTTTTCACCCAAACACAAAAAGCTTTCTTCAAGCTTCATCCGAAGCCATTTTACAACCATAACAGTATTGATCCAAACTGTTTAAGTAAACATTATATTCTTCCTTACTTATTTTTTCCTTTCAGTTATTTATTTGATTTCCAGCTTTAGATTAGTTTATTTAAGTTCTAACTTGAATTTAAACTGAATTGCTATGGGTGAAACAACCTAGAAATTGCAAATTAAACTCAAAAACCAGACTGGCACAGTCACCGCTGCACAGGTGTGTTGTTAGCTGTTCTTCTTGTTTTTAGGTCAATTTCCTCATGTGTTTGGACTGCTTAGACCTTCTGCTTTATAGTAAGATTGGTGTTAGTTAGTTTTTAATAGCATTTGGTTTTATAGATGCATGTAGGGTGATTAAATCTTCAAAAAATGCATGTGCATGTTTCATGCATGATTTTCATGATTTAACCTTATTTTTTATGATGATTTTGATGGTATGTGATTACTAGAATGATCTATAACATTATGTAGATGGATTAAAATGCTAAAATGAAAGGAAAATTAGAGACAATGGCCAAAAAGAGGCTGGATGCCTCTGTCTGCATTGCCCAGGCACCAACGTGTTGGCTAATGGCGCAGACACAGGCGACCATGCGGGATGGTGCACGTAGGACACTTTCAAGGCATCCAAGAGTGTCAGGACATGTCCCCTAGCATGTTGCATATGCACAGTACGCTGCACATAGGCAAAAGGTTCTTGTTAATGTCCCTAGTGCGCTAAGAGGACCTACGCGAGGCATTATTTGTGTCGAATGATGTGCGCGCATGCGCACAGGGACACGCGCCCAGGCGACCATAGCGCCCAGGAATGCACCCCACTCTAAGCAAACCCTATGAGGCACGGGCACTGCCAGGCATGCACACACCGAGAGTGCCATGGGCCAAGGCACCTTGTGCCACAGGTGCGGGCTTACAGGATTTTATCCTCCTACTGCGAGTTTGAGAGAAAATTGCCCAAAAGCATAAAAAAAATTGATTTGGTAATCTAAAATTAAGTTTGAAATTGAACTGTAAAAATAAAGTAATTGAAATTAAAAAGAAAAATGTGCAATAAAATATGAATTTTGAACAAGAGGAATATGAAGGAATCATAAGAAAAGTCTAAGAAATTTTGAAATTAATTAAGAAATTGGGAATTTCTTAATTAAGTAAATTTTGACTCAAATTGGAAGTTTGGTAAAAATAATTGTTTTGGAGAAAAGAAGCTTTTGAGCTATGCCTAGGGTTAGGCTTCGAGTTTTGGTTTAAACTTAGGGCAAGTCTTAGGTCTAGACTAAATTTAAAATGAAATAAACTAAGTCTAAGGAAAAAAAGAGTTTTAGTCAAAACCTAGGGCAAGGATTAGGTCTAGGCTAAATCTACATAAAATAAGAAAACTAGTATGCTTTCTAATAAGGCGTAATAAATAAAGTTTTCTAGTTAAATCTTTTCACCCTATTATCTAGGAGGGGTTATTATTTTATATATATGTATGCTTCTGAATGCGTGAATGGGTTTCAGCGTCCCCTCGTGGACGAAGTTTCAGTTTAGTTGGACATTTTGCATTCACTATCCTTTGCACAGGGAGTGGATGAGGTGACCAGAGTGGTTGAGTGTTCTTTTTGTATATCTATTTTGTTATCTACATCTCCATTCACGTTGTTAATCGGTGTATTCTATCCTCTAAGGTACAGGCTTATGTGATTGCGCACATAGGTACGTAGACAATGTAACTTAATTAAATATTAATAATGCTGTAATAAAACTGTATCAAAAGATGAGTCAGAGTCAGAGTTAAGGTGATTTGATTCATTTATAAGATCTGATTTGATCGGATCCGTTCTGTTCTGATGCCTTTGGGGCCATGATACATTTTGTATGATAATTTTGGTTTGGGTTCTTTAATAATATGAAATGTGGAGAGATAAAACAAATTAGACTAATTTGTAAGTTATCTGAATATTTCACTGCTGAATAAGTATTTATTTTTAAACAATGATTGTATGACTTAATTATTGCCTGTCTTACTGAGTTTATTAGAACTCACTCCAATCCAACCCCTTCCCAAATGATGACTTTATAGATATCCCTGATGAGGCCTGTTTGGACCCATTCCATGATGCTTAATGGGAGCATTGGAAGACTTTCTCTTTTCTATTTTGTTTTTGACAGGTTAGATTTTTTGGCAAATCCATAACATTTGTATGTAGGATTTGATAGCTTAATGCTTCAATACATTACGATTGTAATTATTGTAAGGGATGAATATTACGCAGTTGGACGTATGATGGGTGTCAAATCCACCGAAAATAATATCCTATTGTAACAACAAATTGAATTTGTAATAGTGATGAATACGGTCGAATCCTCAGGGAATTGAGAACCACTCTCCATTTATGGCCAGTGAATAAGGGTCAAAAGCTGGGGGTTTTGTTCTAGATTGATGCAACAAAGTAAATTAATTAACGAGACTTAAAATAGAAAATAAAGAGTATTATCAAAAAGTGATTAAAGTGAAAGCAGTTATGATTTGATTTTACTCAAAGAAGTAGCTTTGATTCTAGTCAAAGAAGTAGCTTTGATTCCAGTCATGAGATTGATCATTGATGCAATGATTGATTCTTTCAAACTTCAACAAACCAGTCCTAATTGTTAGAGATGCTCCTAATAACCAATCTTTTCTTAATCCTCAATTAACCAATAAAATTCATTAGTTATTCCTTATTAATAAACAACTCCAGATACAATCCTGAGATTTAATTCATTAACAATTTTAAGAGATAAAAGGACCTTATTCTAGTTAATGATTTCAACAGCGTGACCCATTCAAACCATGTTGCATATTTCCTTAGTACACAACTAATTCACCACTAAGTATCATAACATCCCAAACGATTACAGATTTAGGAGTTTCGAATGGCAATATGTTGTTGCATCGCACACCTAACGGGCCTTGTTTAAACAATTAACAGACAACAATAATAATATGCACAGAGATATATGCAAATATTGAAGCTTATCAAGAACAAAAGTACAATAATTAGATCTTACAATCCAAAATTGAAACTTCGACCAAGTCTTTAACTAGAAAGGATGTTTTGCCAGTTGCTCATGATGAGCCAAATACACAAAATATTGATTTCACTTTTTCTAGAAAGAAAGAATTGTGTGGAAAACTAGAATATGCTATTATCCTTGACAACGTACTTTCTTCTATGTTTTTCTTCTTATTTAAAGGCCAAGAGGATAAGGGCATCCGCTTGTGAAAATAGGATTTTCACGGTGATTTTGATTCTCTACCTACTTTCTAAAATCTTTTTCTCGATTTGATTCCCCACTTCCTAGTTATAATGGGTCCTCTTTTAAATTTGAAAGCATGTCAAGTTATCAATATATGCTATTGCTAGAGCCTAAGCCTTATCTGAGACTTATCCGTGTGTAACCTAATACTTCTTACTACTGCTAGGGTGTTGCTTTGCTCAAGGGTTTTCTACACATGGACCAGTGATTTCTACTATTGCAAGAATGCAAGCCTTGCCCAAGACTTGGGAACTGAGACCTTTTGGCCTTACTAAGCTATAAGCTTTGCCCCAGGCTTATCCCAAAACTGATGATAGGTTCTGCACATAATTTTCTTATGTTTGGCTGCTTTCTTAGATTTATGTCTTATCCCTTGACCTACATCAAAACAGACGAAACCACCTATATTAGATAATAACAGCTCAATTACACATTCAAAGTAAGTAATAAAGATGTTGTTTATGCACATTATCAATGTTAGTGCCGAGTTGGCATCGGGATGTCACAAAATATCTCATATTTATAAAAAAAGATAAATTTATAGAATAAAATGTACAATTTAAGCTCCGTAACTAGTAATCTTCAATGTGCTTCAAAAAGTTAAATAAAACAAGAAAAATACACATATTTAACATTAAAAATTATCACATCTTTAAAAGTCATCTAGAAACTCAATGAGTCATAATTATGAGTCATTTCTTTAAAAGAGTTATAATTTGATTGTTATTAACACTAGCATAAGGAGCGTGTAAAAAAATTGATTAGTTAACTAAATAAGTAACTGAATTTTATATTACAACAAATATATTAGGAAACGCCATTATAAATACATTGGTTATACGAGAAGCAGATCTGAAGAAATCTTGCAATCCTCCAACTATAAATCTATTTTGCATCAACATGTACATTGAAGAAATTATACCTTACGAATTCTCATTTTCTCTCTTTAAGTTGTCATTGTCTCTTGAATTACCATATTGAGAACTAGATGATGAAGAAATAGATTCACTAGGACAAGTCATAGGTCTTATGCACTGCAGACTTCCTCTTTTATCACTATCTTTTACTTTAGAAGTATATTATCTCTAAAGAATAGACTCTCTATACTCTTTGAAGTATATGCTTGGATAGAATAGTTCTGCTGCACCAAATACAAAAATAAACTTATAATATGATTGAAAAGTTCAAACTTATAATAATTTAAACTTTGAATTAGTAACCACAAGATTCAATTCTCATCTTTGATAGCCAACCCAAGAAAGGTTATCCTCAATAATCGAATTTCACAACAACTCAACCAACAATGAACTAACACAACTAGAAGTGGTTTACTTAATGTGATATAAGAATAACACTACATATGCTCTAGTATTTAATCTTGTAAAAGTTAAATAAACTAGAACACAATCACTTTAGAGCTTTTTTGGAATTGATCCTCATGTTCTGCAAAGACTTGGAAGATTGTATATTAGAACTAACAAATGTCATGTAATTAATGAATTTATTTATGTTATTTTGTAATTATGAACTAAAGATTCCTAATTTATGCATGTTTGTGTCTTTATTATAGTGATATATATATATATATGTATATATGCAGTTTTGCAAGTCCCTAAATTTCATATCTTTTGTTGTTTATGTTTTTATAACTAGGAATGAACAAGTGGTGAACTATCCCAAGTGGTTGGATTATACAATGGATATCGATATCTGTAGGTAATATCTTCTAAATTTATTTTTACTAAATAAATGTTGTATACACATCAACATATACTTAATATTATATTCATAATTAGAAATAATACTTTTTATGATTGTTAAAATCCTAAACTAAATTTATATTATACTAAAGTTGGAAATATGTATCTTCCCTCAAAGATAGAAGTTGTAACGACTTCGCGAAGTATGATACAAAAATCTAAGCATTTCATGATTTATTTGATTTTCTTTATTGGAGTATGATGTATGTTTGATTGTTTGTATTAACGTATCATTTTCTTAACAAATAAATTATTTTCCATAATGTGAGATAGGTAACCAAGGAGGTTAAATGGTAAGTTAAAATAATTAACTTTCGAAATATTATGATATTAATTTAATACTATTTTCCTTACTGAGCATCTGGAACTCACTCTTTCCATGCCCCCCAGATGAGGAAGAAAGTGAGGAACCGCAGGCTGACCTACCCTTGGAAGTCTATGAGGATCCCGTGGATCAACAAGTCTAAGTGCATGACTGTTCCCACACTCTGATGAGTCCAATAACATAGTGAAAGAAGTGGCCCTTATGTTTTGTTTTGTATTTTGCAGCCACTTCTAGCCTCAGTATATGTATGTATTGGAACTCCTATGTATTTGTTAGGAATTTGTAATGATTTAGTTCCGTTGCATAAATTTTATCATGCATTCGTTATTCTGAATTTGTATATGACACCAAGTTGCCTTAATAAGCACTTGGGATGTCACAAGAAGTCCTTCATAGGTTGTCTTTTTTTGCCATTGTTTGAACTAGAAAACACCAGCCTGAGAAGAGGAGACACGAACACCGCGACTGATTAGTACTTGTGGCAACACAATCGATCTATGACTCCAATAAGGATAGTCAAACCTCCCCCGTAGTTTAGCTAAAGTTTGGCCCTTAGATTATTTAAAATTTATCAAGGTTTTTTATTAAAATTTAGGTAACGTGTCGATGGTGATGAATTGAATTAATATATTTGTTCATGGTTTATAGTGGATTAGGCATATAGACGTCATTGCTTTGTTATCTTGTGGATTGTCATGGATCGACATATTGTGAAGGGCCGACGTGTGGGAAAGCCATCCATGGCTGCTTGTGCAAATGGTGTGCGTGCCTGTGTGAGTATATATATATATAATAATTTGGAATGAGTGTGGATTTTGTTTGGGTGTTCGAAAAAGGTCTCGGTGAATGTGTGCATTAGTCATATAGATAAATAAAAGTGCATGTTGTGTTGTGAAGATATGTATATAATATATATGTGTATAGTTGTGTGTGCATCAGGGTGTGAAATAAAAAGTGTAGGTTGTACTATAAAATATATAAATACAAAGTTAGTTAGTACATATATAATGCATATAGGGCTCTAAAATGGTGAAACAATTAGTAGGTTATTCACTCCTTCCTGAGAATGCTTGTTGATGTATTCTATAAGTGAGTTGTATGTTTGTATTGTATCCATAGGTGTGTGGGTGTAAACATAACTGTTTTGAGCTTGAAGAAGTATTATGTGCATATAGTATGTAAAAATTATATAAAGAAATTTGCATGCGGAACAAAGTATCATAAATAAGTGAAAATGACGATATAAACGCATGCGATCTTGTTAAGGCGAGAATGATATATTGATGGTCATGTGTACGATGAACCCTAATGTGGATATGGCAGGTACTTATGATGCCCATATAGGTTGAAGTATGGGGACGACTGATATTTATGGCACTTACCTAGGTTGAGGGGTAAGGACGACCGATGGTTTGTTATGAATTATTTTTTAGTATCCACATGTTGCAGGGATCTTTATGGATCACTAATGACACTAGTACAAAGGTTATTATGTGATGAAATATAAGGATGAATAACTCTAGTTATTAAGCAAAAAAACGTGATTGACTTGGTAGGTGTGTTGTACTTAGAAATGGATTATTATGATTCGCTAGTATCTACTATTGTGAATGAAATTTGTTCTGAATATGAATATGATGTGATTGATGGTATTCATTACTTGAATGAGTTTGGTTGAACTTGAATTTGATTTACTTTGATGGTATTTGTGATTTATAGTGAAATAGAGATGAAAAGGATATCATATAAATTATAAGTTAGGAGTTGGGATTTGGGGGAAATAGGACATGAGGTCAAGATTTAAATCAGCTTTTAAGTTTAAAAATATTATATTAAAATAAATTATCCATCAATTTTTTTCTCATTTTTTCCATTATTTTGGGCGAGTTATTATGTTGTTGGTTCCTGTGTTCTTATTGAGCTAGCACTGCTCACCTAATTTACTATTAATCTTTTTAGATAAAGACGATCAGGATTCGGCTCCCGAGCAATAGGAGACTTGCTGGAAGATCGTTTCATTTCATTTTACTTTACTTCAAAATAGTGCTTAAGATTATCCATTTTCCTTTTATAAAAGTGTTTATTTTTAGGTTTTACATACGCTTCATGAATATTGGATACTTTTAAATAAGTATGCAGGGAATATAATTTGATTTTAAATCTTTAAGGATTTATTACGCAAGATATTTCTATGAATTATTTATTGTTATAGGCTAGTATATGATTAGGACTTATATGGGAATTCAATTTGTTATATCACTTATGTTACATCGAGACCCTTCTTTAATCAGGATTTGCATGTCGCAATGTTGCGTAAAAAAATTAAAAGAATTCTACTCGAGAAATGCCTCTTTAAGTTAAATCTTGGTGTTGCCATTTTAAGTAGAGCCAAAAAAAGAAATTTGAATGAAGAAATGCCTTTAGAAAGAAGCCTTTCTACAGAAGTTTAAAAGAGAAAAAAACAAATTTTATAGAGCATGAAGGAGGATATCAATGGAAGGACTCTGTTAGATGGATCTTGATGCTAGGAAGAGGAAGAAGCTCTTAATGCACGTTAACTATGCTTTCTTTTCTTTTTCTATTAATCATCAGTTATGTCTAGGATTGTTTTCTTTGTTGCTTTCCATTCTATGTTTGTTATGAACTAATTAAGCATTTATTAAGAATTAATTTATCCAAACCTTCTATAAGGATGTAATATTAAGGATTTTATGTTTCCGGACTATGTTTGCATGTGGATTGCTTTTTTAGTGTTCTTAATGCTTTCTTTTAATTATTCTCTTTAGTTATAATGATGATCAACCAAAATAGAAGTTGTGTATAAAGAAATTGCATAAATTGATAGAATGATCCTTGGTTGGGAAATCCATCCTTTAAGGGGTAAGCCTTAAGTGAGATCTATATAATGATTAAATAAAAAAAAAAGTTATGCACAATTCCCTCGACCTCTAGCACATAACATAAAAAAGGTTAGGAGTCTAGCCAACTCTTAGGATGTTTTATATATCCATGTTAATCTAAACTACAATGGATCCATAGTACTTATTGCAGAAAGGATAATTAGTATGAGGCTTAAAATATGCATAATTATTGTTAACTTCAAACTAGATAGTTGATTATTACCCTAACAAGGACAATTACAAGATAGGGACCATTGCATGTAGCGTATGAAGAAAACATAACCATAAATATGAAATCCTTGTAATTGAAGTAGGTTAAATCAATTCCCTAACGTTTTTAACTCTTAGAAACATTCGTTACAACTAAGATAATTTAGGATTTAATTCATTTATTTTAGATTAGAAATCAACAACTATCAAATTTAACTATTTTGAAATCTCAAATAATGCCAAAACAATAGCTAATCATATGTTACCTAAACAATCCTTATTGGGAATGATTGTGACATCCCAGGTGCCAATTAAGGCAAATGGGTGTCAGATACAGATTCAGAATAAATAATGCATGATAATATTTATGCATCGAAATCGAACCTTAACAAATCTCTTACAAATATCAATATAATGTTTCAAATACATATATCACTAAGGTCAGAAGTGGCAACAAAATACAAAACATAAGGGTCACTTCTTTCACTATGTTACCGGAATTCATCTGAGTGGGGAAACAATCATTCACTCAGACTTGTGGATCCATGGAATCCTCATAGACTTTAAAGGGTAGGTCTGCCT